AATGACAGTGAAAAAATTCTATTATTGACTGTTGTGCGAATACGACGTGTTTTACACTGCTCTGTTTTAATCAAATCGAAAGTGCAAATTTGGTAGCAAAATTCGCAACATGTATTTAATACAAGTGCTACAAGACAATCTTTGTGATTAAATAATTGTCGAATCTCTCTTTAAACGACAATCTGGTGAGTGTAATTACGATAAACGGAACCAAGGTCTCCACTTTTCGCAATTGATAATTCTCCTTTGGACTAATGTGTACCATAATATTTGCACAAATTTAAATCAAAAATGCCGTTGCATAAATTTGACCAATTCTTGGACAATACACTATCTACGAGTGTAGTTGACGACTTCGAAAGGCAGCTCTCTGAGCGAGATGACGAAATTACCAGTTTAAATAAGGTAATTAACCACCTGAAACAAGAAATCGATTCACTACTCCAACTCAACAAAAAAATTAAAAACCAAATGGACGAAAACTTAAATGAGAGTATTTCCATGGAAAACTCTCTACAAGATGAAAACTCCAAACTGTTAACTCTGGTGTATAATCTAAAAGCTGAGAATAAAAACTTATCCAAAGATATTGCAGATCTTAAGAACGAATTAGATAGTTTGAAAAGCCTCTGCTATCAATCTAATACTAGGGATTATTTTACTCAAACAGATGCACTTGTTAATTGCACTGAAATAATTAATATAAAGGAGCAAGTTAAACTTACTCTAACCAAAAATGCTTCCCTTCAGACCCGTACAACTGATACATCATACAAAAGTACCCAAACATCCATTAATAAATCCGACGCGGAATCTCAGACGATCAACCAGATTATTAATTCTACGAAGGAAATGAAGAAGCAAATCTCAGCCCATCGTACCTCGAATATTTCATCCAACAATAGAACTTCAAATAGTAATTCAAACAAGAAGACTCCTTCAGCCACAAACAATGTTTCCCTGTATGAAGAACTGCGACTTAACAAAACCAACTTTCCGAGTATAACGCCCAGCACCTTCCCTTCTACTAATCTGGTCCCAAAAAATAAGGTACTTATGCTAAGCGACAGTAATGGCAGACTCTGCTCCACAATGTTGAGAGATCTTCTTCCCAACGAGTATGCAGTGACATCAATTTTCAAACCTAACGCGAAGTTCGAAAATGTAATTGAAGATATAGATCATCTGACATGCGAATTCAATGACAAAGATCACGTCATAATTCTTGCCGGTGCAAACAATGCTCTTCGGTGCTCAAAATTTGACATTAAATTAGTACAACAGTTAATTTTAAAATTAAGTAAGACCAACCTAATAATTTGTGGGGTCCCTTTCTGGACTGGACGATCTGTTTATAATAATATAGTGCACGACATTAACGCGAAGATGATGGCCGCCTCTCAACGATCCAATATCACCTTTCTGGATACCAACAGAAGTCTTAACTCGCCTAATTATTTCACTAGACACGGTCTGCATATAACTCCAAAAGGTAAGCGTCGTTTACTCAAATTAATATCTTCGTGCATTCAATTCGCAAAAAATGCTTCGGTTACTAAAAGAAATACCCAATCCGCTGGGCCTACCTTCACTACGTGCGGAAACCTAATTGTTATTCAACCTGTAACTTCGTTATCTGAAAAAGAGTGTAGTGCATCCGCGGAGTGCTGGAACAATGGCCATGCAAGCGAAGTGGACTACATTGCTCCACTTAAATTAGACATTTTACCCACTGAATCCTCTAAGGTAGTTAGAGATTTAAACTAAACCTCGCCGACGTACCAACAAATCTTAGTTTACGGAATGAAGATGTAGACATAGTGCCGTTGCAAAATGTTAATAATGTTAAGAATAGTACTATTGTAAACCTGCCCAAAAAGAACTTGGACATCGTCCTAATAAACGTCCAAGGTCTTAGTATGCCCAAAATCGCACAAGTTGAAGTCGACTTCATTGATTCAAACTTTAATTTCCTTTGTCTTACTGAAACATGGTGCAACGATGATTCGATCAAAACAATGAATTTGCCCAACTATAGCACTATGTCAACCTATTGCAGAACATCGCGTAAATGTGGTGGTACTGCCATCATGTACAAAATGGGCGTAAATGTTTGTAAACTGGATTTTGATATCTCTAACTATTGTGTGGAGATGCACATTGAAATGTGTGGACTAATCTGGAATCATGTATCCAAAATATATATATTTGTTTGTTACCGTCCACCAAGTGGTGATTTTAATGTATTTTTAGACAAAATAAATGGTCTACTTCAACGTGTGTTTAAGATACATTTGGTAGGAGACTATAACGTGCACTTTGGTTCTAAAGATAGTCGCTGCGAGGAACTAACTAGCTTACTGTTATCCTACAATTTTAGAGGTCTGGTTGGAAAACCAACAAGGATGCAAAACATCTTAGATAATGTGTTCACCAATATGTACGGTGATGTCCAGTGCGATGTGCAACCTTGTTTATTTTCCGACCATCAATATGTAACCTTTTATGCCGATAAATTCAATAAAAGATTCGTAAATGGTCCTCAGGAAATTCTAAACTCCATGCAATCCAATAATTTAAGTTATACCGGATGTAAATTCAACAACATAAAATCTGTCACAAATAGTATCTGTGCTCTTCCTTTCACCACCGATGAACTATTACTCGTCCTAAATAAAATAAAATCAAAGAAAACACCAGGACCAGATGATATCCCTACAAATTTGTTGAAATCTATTGCACCAATAATAATTTTTCCGTTAACGTTTCTAATTAATCTATCCTTTGCTCAAGGTATTTTTCCCGCTCAATTAAAAATGTGTATAGTTCATCCAATCCACAAGAAAGGTTCAACGCATGATGGTAACAACTATAGACCTATATCTGTCAGTCCGGTGCTGTCAAAAGTCTTCGAGTATGATATGCTCGATAGATTAACCGGTCATTTACATAAAAATAATATCATAACAAACCGACAACACGGATTTCGTACCGGATATTCTACTACTATGTCCGCCATAAACTCATTTCTCAGCGACGTAATTTCTCACCTTGAAAATAAGCGACATGTAATAGGAATGTTTTGTGACCTAACAAAGGCTTTTGACTGTGTCAACCATAAAGTCTTGATTGAAAAATTAGAGTTTTATGGAATCCGGGGTGTAGTCTCGGAATGGTTCCTATCCTACTTATGGAAGATCTCAGTATGTAGAAATAAAGTGCAAATCCAATTCCAAGATCACAAAGTTCTCATCGTGCCTTTTGCCGATGAACATTGGCGTACCACAGGGCTCGATTTTAGGGCCAATCCTGTTTCTTTTATTTATCAATGATATTGTTTTCATTTTGAACTCTGTAATCATGTATGCGGATGACACTACTGCAATAGTTTCCGGTAAAACTATTCTTGACCTACAACAACGGGCAAGTGGAATTCTATCGACGCTTCAAGGGTGGTTTAATTTTAACAAACTTTATTTAAACAATAGCAAAACGTACTGCATTTTATTTTCTTCTATTTCTCCCACCACCGATGTATCCCTTCTTGCTAATGTTCCAGTGCAACAATCAGGGAAATACCTGGGAATGTGCTTGGATACAAAATTAAACTGGAAGTGCCACTGCTTATGCTTGATAAAAAAGCTTAATGTTTGTTGCTTTCAAATCCGTAGTATCAGACAGTTGATTGGTGTATATTTCACATTGTCCTTCTATTATGCGGAGGTTCAGTCAAGGTTATGTTACGGTGTTCTTTTCTGGGGATCATCTACACTGGCCGCTAAAGTTTTTATTGTACAAAAACGTATAATACGATGTTTATTGGGCATAAAGCAGCGGGAGTCTTGCCGACCATATTTCATCAAATATAACATCCTCACCCTTCCATCGCTATATATATTGGAAGTATTAACTCATATCTACAAAAATAAACACCAACTTAGGCGCAACAATGAATTTCACTCTTATAACACCCGAAATAAAGGAGACCTTAGTATACCCATGGCAAGGTTAAAAATCTCAAAACAATCTCCAAACTCTGTAGGAATCAAACTATTCAACCACCTCCCAACATCAATTAAAAACCAGCATACGCTCAAAGATTTTAAAAGATCAATAAAAAATATTCTAAGCGAAAATGCTTTTTACACTGTCGACGAGTTTTTAGAAGTAAGTAAGTGCTCAAAGGTTTTAAGTTATGTTATGTTATCTTTATGTTAAATTATATCAATGTTTTCTTTCGCTTTTTCTTTCTTTTTTCTTCATTTTGTGACATGTCCTAATACAATATTATATTGTCAACAGGAAACAATAAAAGTTATGAGTTATGAGTTACCATTTTTGTTGGACAAGTGGTAGAAAGTACTCTTCGATGGACAGTAACTGTAGCGTTAGGATGGAAAATCCTTTGTGTGAGTTTGCTAGGGTGAACATTAGGAAGGCATTAGACCTTACGACCACAGTCCTACATTTGACCCTTCAAACCTTCAACGAATTGGTGCCGCGTTACTACAAGGGTTCCGGTCCCAGTGAATGGCTACATTTTGAAGTGATGTCAAGTGCCTGTTAATATGGGTATGAGAAAGCTAACCACTGAGCGCTTCGAACTCGCAACGTTCAGACACAGATCATGAACCTGCAATAAGAGCCCGGACACGACAAGGTCTACAAGAAACGCCCACACATTTTGTCCTGTCAACGTTCCGGAGAGTCCGAACGAAACAACATCCCAAATGGAGGCAAGCCAAGGGGCAACGTTTTCCATAAATAAGTACTTTTTTTTTGTTCATTTTGAGTTGGTGAGATTTCAGTTGGAAATACTTCACTAACTCAGGCCACTATACTTGACCAAGCCGAGACTCGTCCAGCAACATAGTTTCAGCCATAGGTAATAGTAGTAAATAAAATAAGCGAAGTTCGAAGTTTCACTTACACCTGTACTGTAGGGTAAGTTAGGTAACTGCGAAACACTTTCGTAATGAAGAATAGAAATAAACAGTGTACAATACACTACTGTTTTATTAGTAGTGCCAATTCTACAGGAAAAGGAGTGGGTCCCGCTGTAAAATGGCGTATCGCACCTAGGGGGTTTAACTTCCGTAAGGTGCATCCATATTAGTATCCAAATAATAATCACCATTTGCACTACGAATTAAACAAATAATTTGGTAGTATTTCCTTAAAGATAACCTACCTTTTATCTATAGGTAGTCTACCAAGGTAAGACAAATGCTGGTGGGCGCACACTCCCTCTCGATACATCGTATAGCTGCTGCAATTGAGAGCTGCAAACCCATTCCGAGTAAGAGACTCTGAATAGTACACATACGCTTGAGAATGGGAACATACACCAATCAGATCCATTCCACAACCGGGTTGAGGGGGTGTCCCGTCATTCGGAAAATAGTCAGCGTGTCCAATTGAGCTTAACATTCCAGCAAGCCCACCGGCCGTGTGTATCACCTGCACGAATTCGGCATCGCTCTTGTCTAAACGGTTTTTGGTATTCCACAGGCTGAACAGTGGACCTGCCGGATCAAGCCCTACTATATACCTCAACGTGCCGTTGACAGCGGCACCTGCGCATCCCGCAATATGGGCCCCAAGACTGTGACCCACGAGTGCAACTCTACGTATGTCTAATTGAAATTCTCGTACCAGTGCAACGATAAAGTTTGCCAGATGGGAACCTACGCCCTCAACGCTCAGAAACGCTGTGGTATATAATCCGGACGCTATTTTAGACCAATCTAGAACAAACACGTTGATGTCGCTCGTTTCCAGAAGAGCTTTAGTAATCAGTGTGTTCACTTCGGACAGGTGGGAATTTTTCCAGCCATGGATTATGAAGAAATTTTCATTTTTTGGTTGGTAGAACTGGGAAATCTGCAAATCTTTAATTTGAGTCATGTTTATTTTGTAAGCAGATCCTTGTCTAGTATACAAGTACAGAGCCAAGTCAGTTAGGGGAATATCTGATCGCGCTTGCAACTTAGCGTTAGTCAAATCTTCAACTAGAACCCTTGCGCCGTTGTAATAATACACATTCCGAATTCTGTATGGATCATTCTCGAAGGGTAGGAAACGACGCCCCTCTAGCATAATAGAAATTGGTTATTTTTTAATAAACAAGTGATCCCTCTGTCTGTAATACATATGATATGATATGACTTACCGTTACCCCAGAGTAAGAGCGAGAAGAAGGCAATGGCGAGAAAAACGCTGAGCTTGAATGCCATAATTAAAAGAGCGTTGTAAAGAGTGCAAACATATATAAATATTAAATTTTTATCTCTGAAATTACGCAGTACAACCTTGCACGATGAAAAGCAAACGGTTTTTGCTAAACATTGTTGCCCTGTTTCCATTCAGAGGTGTGTTAAATATACTATCTCTGTCCTGGGATCCTATATTTTAATTAGATAGTGGTTAATTTCACTCTTAGTAACTGACATCAGCTGGATAACTTACACAGCCTATAATACATCTCCAAATTTCAGAAAATATTCGCATTCAATCGTTAATAAAATGTCCATAATTTACAAAAACTCGCTACATCTCAAGTCCACGGAATATCTACAAAATCGCTACAGAAACATTCATACACCGTAAACTCTCCAGTCTCTACAAATTTCTGTACCCTCGCCGCAGAACTTTTGTAAAATAACCGAATCTCACATGTTAATCTTTTCGAAATATATATTAGCCTCCCAAATTGTTTACAGAAGATTCACAGCATCTTTACAGAATCCTCACAGTCCCTCCATATAATCTTATAACAGGTTATCTATAGAATTTCTATGGAATCACTACGGTATCATGAAATCATATCACAAAAGTTATACACCAGAAGTTCTATTCTCGCCAGGAGATAATACCGGCCACAGAGCACTTGATGCCTAAGGCGAGTTCGGCATAAATTGGGAATTGTTTTGGATTCTACGCACCAAAATTAATAAGAAAAAGTGTTTTCCCGAAAAATTTTGGTGCAGTCGATTTTTGGTAAAAAAGGAAGGTTATACACTGCCTTTTTTTGAGCCCCCAAAAAAAAATTATCTCAGATCGACCCGGAAAAAGATTTTTCTTATAGAATGTGGCCTGTAGAATTCATAATTTCAAACAGTTCCAAGATTGGGCTACTAGTTCAAAAGTTACAGCCCTTTGAATTTTCTTTCGAAATTGGTTTCTAGTCTATAACTTTTGATTGAGAAGTCTGATCGAAAAAGTACGAATTGTTTTGGATTCTACGCACCAAAATTAATAAGAAAAAGTGTTTTCCCGAGAAATTTTGGTGCAGTCGATTTTTGGTAAAAAAGGAAGGTTATACACTGCCTTTTTTTGAGCCCCGAAAAAAAATTGTCTCAGATCGACCCGGGAAAAAAATTTTCTTATAGAATGTGGCCTGTAGAATCCATAATTTCAAACAGTTCCAAGATTGGGCTACTAGTTTAAAAGTTACAGCCCTTTGAATTTTTTTTCGAAATTGGTTTCTAGTCTATAACTTTTGATTGAGAAGTCTGATCGAAAAAGTACGAATTGATTTGGATTCTACGCACTCAAACTAATAAGAAAAAGTGTTTTTGCACTCCTTCGTTCTAAATCGCGTTTTCCCAATAAAACACGAACGTCGGGAACGGCAATTTTACAATTGACTATCTACTTTCGCGCACTAGTGCCTAAAAATTCAACAAAATGATCTATTTAGAGCGGATCATAAACTAATAAGTAGCATGATGGAAGAGTAAAAAAGAAAATATAAATACACTTTACATCATTCCATTTAGTACACGGGCAAAAATAAGCTTAAACCAGAAGTTTTGAACAATAAATTGACATTTTAAATTTCTAGATTTCTACTTTGTCGGCATACAGGACTTGATTTTTTCAAAAGAATTATAATGTCGCAGAAATCTCGCGAAAAGGATTTGAATTTATATTAATTCGATTTAACTAATCCGTGCAAAAAATAGAATACATGTTACGTGCGTGAACAGTATTTGCTTGATTCGCGCGAGGTGCGTCGCTCGTGCGCGTTGCGCACTCGCGCCGCCAAACTTCGCGCTCATCTGCAAAATAACTGTTCCCGCACTAATAATGTAAATAACTATTTCCCGAGAAATTTTGGTGTAGTCGATTTTTGGCAGGGTTGGACACTGCTGAAATTAAAAAAAAATCGTTAAGACGCTTGTGAGCAAGAGGCAAAGAGTGCACTTTCAAATTTATTTTTTCGATTGTAATAGCCCTTAAAGACATTTCGTGCCTTAACGAGAATACTAACATGAAATAATTTTTAACACCAATATCAAGTCTGTAAGTGGTGTAGTTCCGAAGGCTTTGTGACTCAGACAGACTGACAGACAGACAGACATCAAGAGCGCAATAGTGCACTTTTTATTTTTGAAAGTGGAAGTGCACTAAAAAATCGATCCATAATAAGAAAGTTGATTCAGTGAATTTTTCTTCATTTCTTCGGAGTTTTTCCAAAGGAGAATAAGCTCAAAATCAATAGGTGTATTCAGATAGCGTAAACAATATTTAACAATAAAACGTATCGTACTAACAAGAACAAGTCCGACGACAACGACACCATAACAGGATTTCTTTTTTGAAAAACCATGTTTGGCTTCCTAGATTGAACTAGGTGGCTAATGTAATCACCGTTCTTTCGACATGTCAAAATATCATCAAATGTCGACGTTTTAGATCATTCTAAAAAACTTTTACAGAATAATTTTTTCCGTCTGTATGTATGGCAATTTTCCGAGATCATGGCTCGACGGATTTTGTTCAAATTGTCGATATGCATATTAGGCATGCGAAAACCAAAAAAAAACGGGCCGGATATTTGAAAAAATTTGTTGGGACGGCTCATTACACTGAGAAAAAATGTCGAAGTAAAAAACTAAAATTTTTTGGGTGCAAAACGGTTACTAATATTAGGTTACCGTTTTACGAATATACATAAAGGATGTAAAATTGTTAAACACTTTTTTTTAAATAAGACTTTAGTTTTCGAGTGGTTACCCATTCAAGCACGAGTACTACCGGGAGCAGCGTTGCTTGACTGTAGACAACAAATGAATTATTAGTAACGTAACAAAGCACTTATCTTTCCACCAGTTTCGGTGACCACCCGATATCTGGAGGCGCTTCGTTACGAAAAGTATGGTGCCGAAAATATTTGTGTTGATTCTAGGAATTGAAGATAGAAGATATTTGATTTAATTTCTAAAGTTGTGTTTCAGCCGACGCTACCGTAAAAAAAGCTACAGTTAATTCGCCGTTTTCAACTGTTCTCGTCAAGATATTTCAATTATCTTTGTTGCCTCCGAAAGCTCTTGTCATTTAGGAGACAAGAGCGAATTAATATCTTAAAATTTCAGCTCCGTTAAGTAATTATTAGATGATTTTGTTTTCTTACATCTTAAAACGAACATTAAAACTGCAAGACCATGCAGGTTTACGCCGGTATCAAACTGATAAGAGACTTCTATGCCAACCTGAGGAATTCCAATTAACAATGGGCCTTACTTCACTAACGACTTTAGAAATTGTTTTTTAGAATGTGTTGCAGTAAACGTTATCAAAATCAGCCGTGAGAAGTGTTCCTGGATGTCCCCGATTTAGATAAAGACCAGAAGCCGAGAAATTAATTAGAGAAGTTTTAATTTTAAACGCTTTCGTATTTGTTCCGCTGGCCGGTTGGATTTTCCCACGTTCCCTGCCCGTATTTTGGGAGGTAAACGCTTAATTTAGAGGGCCTTTTGCACTTTCACAAGTGATGTATGTAAGTACTATTGTATGGGTATTGTCTCGCCTCGCTTTCCTGCAATTTCCACAGGCACCTGGTGCAAACCAGGTAACGGAAAACTCCACAAGTCCTGAATGATGGAGATAGACTTTTGAAGTCGTACACTGGAAGCTTTTGTGCATCCGTGTGTGCATAATTCATCAATTAATCTTTTCAGTTGGAATAACATAATCGCAGAAAAGGTCAACGATAACCCTGGCGATCCTTATAAATTTTGAACCTACATGCTTTAACGTCACGACCCGGTGTGACTCAGAAATGTAACTCGACCAAAAGTCGGCCATTTTCTAAAAATGGCGGCTTTTGACGAACTTCCGGATCCGGATTATTTTTCTGATAGTACCCTTGGATTCTTTGTGCGAAATTGACACCCAGATATTTAGTTTTTCAAAAATTTTACAATAAATCACCTCCTCTAAAATCTACCCACACGGAAAATGCCAAGTGTTCTTCAGGCCATAACAGCTGTATTAAGTGGCACCTTGGTATCAAAAAATGCAGTATCTTTTGTCGTACCGGTAGTTAGTTTCCTCTAAAAAATTAATAAAGTAACAAAATATTAAGTTTTGGGTACATCGCTACCCCATACAAGGTGACATTTTAAGAAGTTTCAATAGATTACCTTATATGATTCCCCGTGGAGTTATCAAAAAATTCTCAAAACCGTTTAGAATGAAAGGGGAGCCAATCTGAACGCCCACGTGTACATTGATCCCCAACCACCCGCGCCCTACCTCCCCCATCTCGAAATTTCAAATTGCAACGTATCACTGTACAGCCTTTTTATTAATTTAATAAAAGACAAATTTGAATAAGATGCTTATAACTTATCTTTCTTGGCAACAAAATGTCAGTTCTTATCTAAATTGGACTTGGTTTCATTTTATCATTTTAAAATTATAAATAATAGAAAAATGTTCACTTAAATTTATTACTACAATATTAGACTATAATACTTACTTGCCAGGGCTCGGAGTAGGTACATTATCTTTGGCTGTTTAATTATTAAATAAATTGATAGTGGAGATTACACTTTTTTGTTAAATAAATTATACACGTCTTATTCAAATGTATCTTTTATGGTGTCAATATGAAAAGTAATCACATGTGGTGATGAAATTTTGACGTATAGGGTGGTAGGGGGCAGTTAATTGAAGATACCAATATACTACAGCCCTCACGTGAGCTCCCCCTTCATTCTACCGAAACAGTTTTGAATATTTTTGGATATCGAGGGAGATCTTCGAAGCAAACAGAACGAAAAACGAAATTCAAATGGGAATATCTCGAGAACGTGCGGTACGTCCAAAGAGAAGGTGTTATTGGTGATATTTATAATACGCAATTGCGTATGAAAATAGAGGTTACTGAGGAATCGAACGTAAGCTTGTCTATAAGAGTACTGGAACTTTAGAATCTAATAATCCAAGCATAAAAAATCAATTAATTTTGTAATCACCTTTTAAAAAGGTCTAATAGGCCTTTTTTTGGTAACCAACGAAAACTAGGATAATTAATTATGTAACACGGAAGCGGAGGATGAAAAAACTGTGCAAAATTATAAATTTTTTGTAACACAAGATTAAATCAATCAAAAAAACACAATTTCCATGCATGTGAAAGACTCGTGCAGTAAGACCTACATTCTAGGACTTGCTTTTATTTGTACACGTGAAGAGGACAGGACTAAAGTAATTCTTCAAATTGGCATTAGGGGTAAGTTTCTCATATACTGTGAATGAGAAAAGATAGAAAATGTGCGGCGCAAGCCGTTTCAAAATAAAGATCTCCAAATGTCCACTAGAATTTTCAAAAACGTTATTAATTGCAATTCTCATCTTGCAAAAGCAAATGATAAAAAAAATGTTGTCAATCGCACCCCAAATAAAAAGTTTTACGATGCAATTTTCTAATTTGCGAAAAAAAATTCAAAAGACTTTTAAGCGTGGATTTCAATTTGATTTTGGATATTCTGTGGTCCATAGATTTCTACCTATAAGTCTGAGAAAGAATGTCAATCAATCATCGTGTAAAAAATCCCGAAATAATATTAATTGGGACCACCGATCTGGTATTACACGCCCAATGTCAATGTAGATAATTACTCAAAAATTAACATATTGGCACGCTCTAACCGTTAATTAAGTTTATAAAAGTGTCTGTCTAATAATCGGTCCCTAAGATCATTGCTCGTGTGTTATTACCGATTTACGAAAAGGAAAGTTTGACCTACCTAACGCGTATTATTTTCGCTAACTGAAACAACGCAAATCCGTGATAAATGTTCAATTTTCCGTCCGTCTTCAAATTACACAATACTCCTCGAAATGTGAGGTAATTAAAAATACTTGGAGTGTGTACCTATTTGAAAATATTTATACACGTAGAATTTTGTTCGTACACATCTCGAGAGATGTAATTAAAAATATACGAATCAATCGAATAAGTCAAGGATAAACAAACTTACATAATGCAGAAGTCTTTCATGACATAATTTGTAATTGTTGTGCATCGTTTCGATTTAGAGTAAAATAATAAAAAAAAGAATAAATCAAATTAAAAAGTAAAGGTCACTTCATGATTCACCAATACGATGGCAGAAGGTAAACTGAAAATTGAGGAATGGCTGAGGACTGATTTTTTTTGTAAGCCATACATGGCAATTAGATGAGGTCGTCGTTGACAGAAGAACATAATTGACGAATGAGAAAGAGGACATGTTAAGGAAAAGTCTAAATCAAATTTATATATCATCAATGTGACGTCCTAAATTATACCTTTCAAAGTGATCACACGTAACGGTAGGGATGAAGTCGACTCATATAAAAAGCCCGTTGCAGCTTAAACGGTTACACTTGAATTATTGTGATTACACGATAATTACAATCATGAAGTACTTAGCGGTGAGATATTCGACTTATCTGCAGTGTATGTATTAAATAGTTGCGTTTTCAGGTTGCGTTTTCGTTGGTGGTTGTGGCAGTAGCGCGTCCCGATGTTTCACAGCTACCGTCTGGTAGTTACTTACCAACAGGAGGACAAATTGGCAGTTCGTTTGAATCATCTGGCAGTCAAATTACCGGGATCAGCAGTGGAATTGGAGGAATTGGTGGAATCGGAGGAATTGGTGGAATCGGAGGAATTGGTGGAATCGGAGGAATTGGTGGAATCGGAGGAATTGGTGGAATAGGTGGTATTGGTGGTGCCGGTGGTTTCCAGCAAGATCAGAAACACGTCTACTTCTACGCCGCTCCCGATGAGGAACAAGTATCCCGGCTACGTATCAATATCGCACCAAACTCACAGAGGAACACCAAAATCATCTTCGTTAAAGCTCCAAGCTACGGTGCTGTCGTCCCAGAAGTTATCGCTCCACCATCCTTATCGGAAGACAAAACTTTGGTCTACGTCTTGGTCAAAAAGCCAGAGCAAGGTGGACAGATCCCCATTCCCGCCGGTGCCGGAGTCAAACAGGCCAAGCCCGAAGTTTACTTCATCAAATACAAGTCTCAACACGACGCCGAGGCAGCAATTCGTGGAGGACTTAACGGACAGATTGTCGGCTCGTCCGTTAACGATGTCGGCAGCGAATCAAGCTTCGTTAGAACTTTGGATTCTGGTTCTCGTGGTCATGGCGGTATTGGAGGAGACGGTGGATACAATGTAGGTGGGTCGCAAGTATTTGGAACCAGCGGAAGCGGAATCAGCATCTCGACCAGCGGCAGTAGTACCAAATTTGGGCCGGCCGGTGAAAGTGGACCTTACTAAGAGCTAATTAAATGACGAGTATACCATGTATGTTCACCGAATTTTTGGTTAAGGTTGTATATATGACATGATGAATATTTATTGTTATTTATTGTAAATAAACAATTGCTATAAGAATCTATTCGTTTAATTCAATTAAAAAAATAATCCTCTAATTTGGAGCCGTAATGAATTCAATATTTACCTAGACGCTGCAACAGAACCATAGCCGGTGACCTCTCCAGTTGATATTCAGTGGGAACCGTCGACAAGAATGAGAGAAACAGAACGTGAAAACTTTTAAATTAGAAATGATCAACGCAGACGAAACTTTTTTGATAATAAACGTTAATCATTCCACCCTTCTCAAGCTCACTTAAAAAATTCAAGGAAAAGATGCAACACCTCGTCGCAATGTTATTTCGAGACTGAATTGTAATGGATTTTGTTATTGCTATCAATACGAAATAATTAGTATTTTCCGTACCAACATTATTCATCGCTTACCCGGGACCAATAAGACAAGGTATTCATACCAGGGATCCTATTAACAAAAATATTCATTTAACGTATACAGTCAGAATAAAAATTTACATATTTCCAAGTAGTCAGTTTTTGAAATTTTTAGATGACGTCATATATACACAAGTTCTTGTACACAAAATGTCTTGGGTAAACATACCTATGTAAAAGGTTTGTGTTTCTTATTATCATGACCTGTCTAATTAAATATACTAACATTAAATGAAGTAAGGGTTGAGTGGAAGAACAGACACGGATGATACCCCCATCTGAACTCCGCCAGGCTCTGTAGAAGTCTGTAGTCTAATGAAGTCATTTACTATTATTAGAGCCGCATAGAGTTTTTTTAAAGGGGACTTTCCAAAAAATAGGCCCTACCAACTCCAAAGCTCATACCCTATAGTTTACCTTGCCTGAAAATATAGCGCAGAGAATTTAAAATGCAAGGTTGCCATGATTTCAAATGCTATTAGCAACAATGTTGACCAGTTAGACAGTGCTAGCTTGTATTTCGAAACCTACTCTTTAAAGTCATCAAATGAGCTTATATAATGTAATTTATTACACTAATTACACAGATACAGTAACGTTATCGTTGTGCAATTTTTATGAGTAAAAACAAAATACGAATAATCACATACGATTTCCAGTAGGGGAATTTGTTGCCACTCGGCTCACATTTGAAACCAGACTTTTAATCCGGCTCACATTCATTAGCGCTGATCCTTGACTCGTAGGAATCGATTGGCGAAGGTTTGACATCGCTGTCTCTTTTCTTTCTCGAGAAACAGTCGGACAAAACTATCACATATGGGAAATTTTTTTGCTTTGGAAAAAGGTGCCAGATCAATGATCTCAAATAAAAACAGTTCCGAAATTGGCAGGTATACTTAAAACGAGGTTATTACAAAGATAGGGAGCAATGATTGATTTAAAAAAAGTGATGGGAATACAACTACCTGCGATTAGACAATCCTCCATGACCGAAGAATGACGAAATAAAGAAAGGACATCCGAATCAAATTTACGCATCATCGATACGACGACGTCGTGCTGAATTATACCTTTCAAAATTAACACTCGTAAAGGTAGGGATTAGGATATAAAAACTAAGTTGGCGTTTAAATGGTTACACTTTAGATTTCTTGAAAATTACCAGAATGAAGTACTTAGTAGTAAGTCATTTTTTAATTATTTGTAGTGTACTCAAATGTGATTTCAGGTTACGTTTTCGTTAGTGGCTTTGGCTGCAGCTCGTCCTCAGTCACCGTCTGGAAGTTACCTGCCAAGTGGGGGTCAAATAACCTCGTTCGAGTCATCTGGTAGCCAAATGATCGGGATCGGCGGTGGATTTGGAGCGATCGGTGGAATTGGTGGAATCGGCGGTATTGGTGGTGTGGGTGGTATCAGTGGTTTACAGCAAGATCAGAAACACGTCTACTTCTACGCCGCCCCCGAAGAGGAACAAGTATCCCGTCTACGCATCAACATCGCACCAAACTCGCAGAGGAATACCAAGATCATCTTCGTGAAAGCGCCAAGTTACGGCGGTGTCGTCCCAGAAGTCATCGCTCCACCATCCTTATCGGAAGACAAAACTTTGGTCTACGTCTTGGTCAAGAGGCCAGAAAACGGCGGACAAATCACAATTCCCGCCGGGGCCGGAGTCAAACAGGCCAAGCCCGAAGTTTACTTCATCAAATACAAGTCTCAACACGACGCCGAGGCAGCAATCCGCGGAGGACTTAACGGACAGGCTGTCGGTTCGTCCGTTAACGATGTCGGCAGCGAATCGAGCTTCGTTAGAACTTTGGATTCTGGCTCTCGTGGTCATGGCGGTATTGGAGGACACGGTGGATACAATGTAGGTGGATCGCAAGTTTTCGGAACCAGCGGAAGCGGAATCAGTATCTCAACCACCGGTAGTGGTGCGCAATTTGGACCGGCTGGTCAAAGTGGACCCTACTAAGACCCAATTACAGGACGAGTGTATACCATGTACGTTAACCGAATTTTTGGTTAAGGCTGTATATATGAGATAATGAATATTTATTGTTATTTATTGTAAATAAACAATTGCTATAAGAATCAGTTCGTTTCGAAACATATGAAGTAGAAATCCGTAAATTTAATGTTTTGACAAAATATTGATACATTTTACATTAGCCTTATTTGAGGCCGGTGAGATTTAAATTGGATATTGAATTAAATCAAAATCAAGCACTTCCGATTACTTTTCCATACATAAAGAAATGATTTTTAAATCCCCTGGAAAATCGTTAATGTACCTTACAAGCCGCAAAAAGCGAAATCTATCGATCAGTGCATACGAGACTTATTATAGACTCAAGACTAATTGAGATATTAAATACTAGATGATTGAAAGCTTCCGAAGACTCTCAAAAGCGCTTAAAAGCTGTTAGACGTTCTAACTGCCATCACTGTAGAAAAACGCTGCATCAGGCTCCAAATTTGGAGGAAATAACATTGGATTTATTAATACGTGAGTGGCAGCCATGTGCATAACCATGATGTTACCGTAATTGCCTTGTAGGTCCATGCCTGAATCAACTTAATTCTCCATCGTTACCGTACTATTATTGTTTTATGAGTAACCATCTTTTAACTAGAGGGATCTTAATTTTTTGTGACCAAGGACATGTTACACGTTAATTTCTTTTCAGCTCGGGGGGTTTCCAGCTTTAATTCGCCGTTATTTAAGCAATAAGATCTTAAAAAACTCCCATATAGAATATATATCTTCCATTTTTGTCACACACTGATAATAATTTGTTATCAAATTTAACTTCATTCACACGCTTAAACCTTTAGCAACCCAGAAGTTCATTTTTTACCTCGAAACAAAGTTATTGAGGAAATCGAAAGACTACTTTTGTACTTTTTGTAAACGCCACCTTAAATTTCGTTAAGTTTAAAAATTTTATAAAAAATCATTTTTAGCGTATTAGTTTTACTCCATAGAGGAATAACTCAGTAGGTACACCTATTGTTTTTAATTTGTGATTTTAACGTGTTTTATTTCTATTTTTGTATGGATTTCTTTGTCTGTTTGTACTTTTTTTTATTGTACACGCTTATTTTTGCTGTATGTGACGTGTCGCAACCATTGAATGTAATAATTACGACTAAATAAACATTACAAGGAAAATTACGTTTTCATTGAAGAAACGATATCCTTGTCCGCAGATGGGTTGTGTTGAGAACACAATTTAGACTAAAAATGGGCAATCAGAGAAACTCAAAATACTAATTCCAATTTTTTCAGGGATGTGTAGCGGGAGGTCCCCCGAACAAGAAAAATTAAAATCCCTCCAAATACCGGTGCCGCTGGGGAGGGGGAGGGGCCTTCAGGATAAAATCAAGCTAATTAAAATTTCAAGTTTGGTTATATACACATCTTTACGAAAAACTTTCGTGCTACCGGCTCCGGGAAGCTGTTAATTTCCAAAAAATTGTTTTTCACTCCTGTTTCGTAGAAAAAAACACAACACCACACCAGCCAGCACACGTGGAGAGGCAAGTCGGTGCATTTAGCCTCTACATCTGCTGTTCCCTCTTTGCGATCATATTAACCTCAATTTGAGTTTCAAGAGAAATGTCTAACATTGATGGACGATTTTATGAAAAACCAGAAAAAAATTAAGCAGCACATGACCAGAGCAGAGCAGTTGACTATATATGAATAATGGCGTTTGACAAGGCCCTTGCAAAGCAAGCACACGTTCGAAATGATGGGGTAAGGATGTGTTGCAGCGCATCTGCATGCAGTATTCGGCATATACACCATGAAGACAGATGAAATTGTACGAATGAAATCCTCCCCCCTGGTATTTTAGAAGTGGGAGTTTGGCGTCCTCAAACTGGAGTCTTACGAAAACGTCACCCACACTGCGTTGAAGAAAGTTCCCGAGGACACACCTGTGGATGTGTGTGGTAAACACTTTTCAGAAGAGGGCATCCCACAGATTCCCGAACGGAACAGTTTCATGGGGTTGGTATAAGCAAAACAAACAAAACTGCAACTGCACCCTTCCCTTCACAAATTCACCCCTGAGTGGTGTGGATACGTTGTACAGTGCTCTAAGATGTGCATGAGAAGATGCCATTCGTCTTGGATTGACGACTTGCTTGGTAACAACTTGGCAATCCTTAATTGGAATGAACTTAAAAGCAATCTAGGAAAAATACTGTGGTCCCTCTGTTAACACTGTAAAAGTTTATAACAAAGCACTCGTGGTAGATGCTTCCGTAATTATTCAAAGAACCTTAATCAGCGAGAGACGTGATGAGGATATTGCAGTCCTGTTGAAGTTGAAGTTATCTCCATACCCATGACTCTATTCAACGAAGGATGCCATAGGAAAACGAAGCATGTGCTATTGAAAAGGCTCCGACGTAGCAGTTATTGGTGACAACATAGATCTTCTCATCCTGCTAGTGGCTCTGACTCCATCAAATGTGAATATCCGAAAGAAAGACGTACTCAACCATGCAACTTCCCTTACTGCTTGTTCATCCTCTGCATGTACAGCTGTTCAGGGTGTGATACCACAAGTGCCATATTTGAGAAGAAGTGGTTACAAAAACTTACGGATGAAACCAAGACAATATCGGAGGTTATTCTACAATACTTCATCCATCAATCAGCAAGTGACAGAAGCAAGACAAATCATGTTTTTCATCCCCTACAACGCCCCACCCAACCGAAAAGATTTAAATAAATACATGGAATCCTCACTCCCGTTTACAGTTAGGTCCTCCGAACTTCTTCCGCCAAGCCACATTTTAAATTCAAAATTCCGCCACTGCTTTGCTCTTTTTGGATGTGAAGGTGTTTGCCTAACCCGTCCGCCTGTCCTTGATTAAGATATTGACGAGGATATTGACGACGAGATCATTCAAACCAACTAATCCTTGTGTGACCATTTTTGTGCACAGTAAAATTGAGTTCTTTTGAATTAGGCTATATAGATTTCATTTACCAGTAGCACACCGCTTTAGAAACAGTTTCCAAATAAGGTTTATACATTTGTAAAAGCCATATATATGAATATATGTAGAGAAATGGAGCCATCAAATGGTTCAAAACTATTATTTATTTTACTATTGGAAAATTGGAAACGTGCGTTGAAATATACAGGGTGTATCTTTTCGAGCGATAAAACTTTTCAATACTCGATTCCATTTTATTTTCTGAGTAAAAGAGTCTTAAGGCCGTTTTACAGTTAACAATTTTTCTTGCGTGCAATTTAACTTCCTGCAAGTTTTAGGTGCAATTAAAATTGCCAGTGGCTTTACAGTTGGCAATTTTTGTGATGCAACAATCATTGCAAGCGTAAGTACCAACCCTACCCTAGACAAGTACCAACCTTTAGGAGGTAAAAGCAAATGTCTACAAAGATGGATGAAAATATAAAGGTTAAATTATTAATTATTATTATTATTTTGTTGGGATCTGCGCTGCTTCTGCAAGATGGTACGAGAAAAAAAAGGCAGTAACACAAAATCAAATTTTTGAAAGGTTGGTACGTCGCAATATACTACAAAAGTTACTAAAATTGCATGCAAGATACAGAACTTTTGGCGCAAAACACGACATTTTTCTTGCACCATAAAAATTGCAGCAAGTCGACGCAATATTCGATTTGCGCATGCGTGCAATAAAAATTGCAGCAATTTTTCTTGCCGGAAATAAAAATTGCGAACTGTAAAGTGGCCTTAATAAAAATTTTCCTCTAGATGACTCCTTCAGGTGGATACTAACACTTTTAGATTTTTTAATCTGTCAACATGACAGTTTGTGACTGATGGAAATTGCAAGATCAAGGCACTCTAGATAGATTTTTTACGTGAAAAACTCAAGTGCATTGATGCCACATTGTCCTACCATTTAGTCCAGTCAAATACAAGAGAAAATAATAATGGCGCAACATAACAAAGAAGTATTTGTTTCAAATCCGATAATCTGTCATCTGTTAATAAAAACGTTCAGAAGCTTGTGAAGAAAAAGTACCTTCAACGATTGCCTAACATAAATATAAAGTTGGGAATAGAGTCTCGAAAACGGAGTTCAATATACGTCATTAGTTATTACTTATGATATTTTGTATTTATTGGAATTTAAAGCAGGAAAATGAATAGGAAATGAAATTTACGTTGAAGAAAGAGACTGTTAAAACATGAGGTTAAAGGGTTACGTTACAGAATTTTTGTATTGCTACCAAAACATGTCTGCTGGTAGAATGTGGTATTTTTCAATGTTACTAATCAGAACTTCATGTATTATTACAGCATACCCTTTTTAACGTTAGCATATTACCTAACGTCATTGAATGCTAACGTCTAAATTTTTGCTTCATCTAAATATGTATACTTTTTTTAGACTAATGCACAGGAAACAGAAATGGCCAAATGTGCGAAACTTCCCATTTCCACTTTAATTTATTTTTACCTCATCGAAATTCACCCTGTTTAAAATTACTCGTTTATAAGAAATAATCGGTGTATTAAAGTTGCTATACTCTATATTACCAACTATTATAAATATTTTAGTTGATTCGCACCCTATCACTAGTTGTCAACTAAAAGATATTGGAGAAATCATTACAGACTATCGACTTTGATCAGCAGTGACATCATCCAGTATTTACTAGTTCTTAAGAGTCTTCTGTACCCACTGTATCCAATGTAAATTTCCATAAGAGCGCCCGCCATAAAAACTCTATTTGTTTTTCTAAAAACAATGTTTTTTAAGAACTATTTTATAAATTTAGACCTTTATCTACAAAATGTTCGGACTATTTTTTTTTTTAAGTTTATAGCAACTGAATACCGATTGTTTAAAGATTAGATGTTTCGCACCGTTTATTGCGCTAATCTGTTTTATTTTTTTACTCTCGATCAAGACGATTTATGGAAAAAGTAAACCGACAGTTTTTTAGATAAGTTACTTCTAAACATGACCCCAAAAAATGAAATCATAATTTTTGTAAATAAAGTCTGTATCTTGGCGGGCGTTAAATCAACAATTTGAGTGTAACAAGTGGCGCCACTGCACAGTGTCGGTGGGAACTAACTAAGGACCAAAACAGGAGTTGACAAAGCAAGAATATCATCTTATCTCTTGCAGCTATAATCATCTATACACTATAATGTAAAAAAGTTGCGCTTAGGTAAAGAAGACTCTTAAACGACAACTCAGTAATTGGCAAATGCACACTCGGTAAAGGACGAGACCATTACAAAATTCTAGAACCATTTCTTATGTAAAAAAAAGTAAACCGTTGGTTTTCCCGAGGGCATACAACCACCTGCAATTATAGACGATCGTCTTTGACAGAAGAATTTAAATGACGAAATAAGGAAAGGACATCTCAATCAAATTTGTACATCATCGATGCGACGACATCCTAAATTAAACCTTTCAAAATTAGCATTGGTAGGGATGTAATCGATTCATATAAAACGATAGTTCCAGTTTACATCGTTACACTTGTACAATTTAGAGTAAGCGAACATGAAATACTTAGCAGTAAGATGTTTAGATTATTTGTAGGGCCAATATTGATCGAATTGTGTTTTCAGGTGGTTTTTTCGTTTGCGGCTTTGGCTGCAGCTCGGCCTGAGTTGCCGTCTGGAAGTTACTTGCCAACTGGAGGGCATATTGGCTCGTTCGAGTCGTCTGGCAGCCATATTAATGGGATAAGCGGTGGATTTGGTGGAATTGGAGGAATCAGTGGAATCGGAGGAATTGGTGGAATTGGCAGTATTGGTGGAATAGGAGGTATTGGTGGTTTCCAACAAGATCAGAAACACGTCTACTTCTACGCCGCCCCCGAAGAGGAGCACGCATCCCGCTTGCGTATCAATATCGTACCAAACTCCCAGAGGAACACCAAGATCATCTTCGTGAAAGCGCCAAGTTACGGTGGCGTCGTCCCAGAAGTTATCGCTCCACCATCCTTGTCGGAAGACAAAACTTTGGTTTACGTCTTGGTCAAAAGGCCACAAGACGGCGGACAAATTACTATCCCAGCCGGTGCCGGTGTTAAACAGGCCAAACCCGAAGTTTTCTTTATCAAATATAAGTCTCAACACGACGCCGAAGCCGCCATCCGTGGAGGACTTAATGGACAAGCTGTCGGTTCGTCGGTTTCTGATCTCGGCAACGAATCCAGCTTTGTCAGAACTTTGGCTTCTGGTTCTCATGGTCATGGTGCCATTGGCGATAGTGGTTTCGGTGGAGGATTTGGACACATTGGAGGTGGAATAATTGGAACGGGAGGAGCGGGGGCAAAATTTGGACCGGCTGGTGAAAGTGGACCGTATTAAGAAGTCAACCGAACGAAAAATGTGACATTAAAATATTTATTGTTATTTATTGTAAATAAATACTTGCTAGAATATTCGTGTCCTTCCTTACACCTTTAGTCCGTCGTCGAATTGTCTTGAAATATGTCAAGCTAATACATTATTTGTTCAGAACTGTGCAGGATGTCTAAATTTCATTACTCAATGAAGACAGAATCCATTATCAATCCAAAGCGCGAAAAAATTTAAACTAGGAATTAGTGTCTCTTTGAAAGCTTTAAGAGAAAAATGAGATATCCGTTTATTTCTTAATTCCAATTTCACACCAGAACGACAAGAACCTCTTTTCCCTCAGATATTCACGTGTTGCCAATTTATCTAAGAAGCGTATGGAACAACTTGTCCCTTTTTTGTAAAAAAATAACAAGACATAAACCCATGTTGTTCAAATATAGTGCTTACAAACACAAGAAAATACATAATATTAATTTTTAATAACTTTCATACAAGAGGGAACATGTAGCATTTCATTTTTCAAATAAACTGCACCAATATAGACAACGAGCAACAAAGTCACTTCCGGTTCACGAATATTGACCAAAATTTAATCAATTAGTCCCTTGACCATTGTCTACCGATTGCTACAAACAAACTGTTAGTGAGTTATCGTGTCCACAGACGGACGGACAGAAAGTCCAAAATCATAAACTCGCGTTTTACCGCTCGTTAATAAACGTAAATTCACTAGGGCCTACGTTCCCAAAGTTTGCGATTCTTTTGAATAATTGTCAGCAAACGCAAGAAATGGAATTAGAAACCACCTTGGAGTAGGACTTTTTACCACCACCACCAAAAAACCTAGGTAAAGCCGTTAGTTTTAAGTGTTATGTTACTGACAAAAAAGGAGAAACGCGGATTTTGAAACATTAAAGGACGCAGATCCGAAACGAAGCATTTTGGGCCCTTGACTTATTTAGAAAAATGTTTTGGTCTCATTTACACCCCTTTTTTGACTTGAAAATGTAAACGCTGCAAAAAACGGATTGCGATTGCAAGAAAACGTTAATTGATTTAATTGATCTATAGGCTATGCCGATAAGCTAATATTCAGCTAATTGAGTTACAAGTTTAATACGTTATAAACAGTTCAAATTATATAATCTTTCTACAATCAATTGATTATATTATTCTTCTTTGTGTTTAATATTTTTCGAATTTGGTAATGTAATGTAATAAAAAAATTCAAAAACTTACGTCTCACATTGTTGATTGAAAGCCACTCACCTAAAAAGAGAAGAACAATTAATTATTAACGACAATTTCATATTTTTACACTTTAACTTAATTTTTAACAGATTAATGGATCTCTCGAATAATAAAACATTAACCATCGATTAGTATTAGAGATGAATAACACACGAAATGCTACGTTGACTAAAATATTTTATGAAATAGATAATAATTTTTGCACTTTTAAAATTATGCAATTGCAAATTGACGAGTGAAAAGTTGCAAACTTGCTTTATGAAATAGGACCCAGGCCGTTAGATTGTCCTCCTGAATTTCTTTATTTGGGCTTATCCTATAAAAGTGACAAAGTTTCATAGTTGTTTAACTTTTAATCTTTTTTTTTCAAATTTTTAAAATATAATCTGTAACGAATCACCAATTTTCGTACACGAATTATACCAGAATTAATGAACGCACCGTACATTGATGGAAGTTACAAGCTTTAATGATCACCCGGTACTCAAACGAGCGCTTCCTTACGAGAAACTTAAAAACGAGCATTCAAACTGCACCGTGCAGTATATTTCATTATCGCAGACCTTTTACGATTGACCCGAAATACAAGGTAATAATGGGCACATTTGTTAATTAGATGCTATGTGCTAATGACGTGTCGAAGCCAAGGATTAGTGGAATGACAAATATTGATTATTATTACTGGGATCCTGAATTTGGAAATTTTAATCTGGCCAATTAAGTGACTATAATTAACCGTGGTTAATTGATTGTGTTGCAGCAAACTTCATCTGATTAGATTGGGCCTAGTGTCATTAGAAACGCGCTTAATTAACATGAATTTCAAGATTTTTAGGAGCCAACTAATTAAATAAAGATGTCGCAATTTTTAGATGTTATCAAGAGAGTACGCCGGCCGGCTGGGAAATCTTGAGTTATTTTTCCACATCTTTTGGAAATTCTATATAAGGTAAACGCATGATTTATGGGAGAACTAACAAAAATTCGTAAAATATTTCAAATTAACTGCGTAAACTTGTTATTAATTTATTAAAATTGATCTTCTCAGTTTCATTTACATGCAGCGGATTCTGCGCGGACTAGCAGGCTACCGAAGTTCGTCCCAAATTTTAGTAAACAGATAAAACTGCAAAACATTAATCATTGAACCTAATTTGAATAATTTCACATAATTTGAGACACCCAGTATGTAGTGAGGTTAAAGTGTTTTCTCAAAATATAGGTGGTCATACAGATTTGTGATTTAATTACGGATAAATTCAATCAAAATGAAATGGATGTTTTTGCATTGTGCATAATTTTGACACAAAATGTAGGTATACAGGGTGCCCCAAAAAAGCGTGAAAGAAAAAATATGTTTTCCTTAAATTGAAATCCCGAATATAATTGCATTTTCGGATTCTCCCGAAAATTCTAAACATGCTTATGTAAATGTCCTGATTACAACTGTGCCGGATTGGGTTGGGCCCAAGCATGGGGAGGTAAACTAATATCTATCAAAATAGTTTCTTACATAAAAGTCCGGAAAACGATAGATTACTGGTGAGCAAACATTGAAGTGCGAGGCCCCATTGGGGCCGAGTATTTTAATTTCCGAGTCAGGTAATGTCATTCTACTGACGAGTTTTGTTTTAAATTGGACCCGAAATCGTATTTTAATATAAAATTTCAATTTTTATATACAACTTTTGATTAATGTCAATATGTCAGTGATGACAGGACTCATTGTAGGCATTTGGAAATTTTACGGTGTAAATTAAATGGTTCAATTTAGTTAACAGTGTATGTATTAAAGTATGTAAGATTATTTTAGTATGTTAAGCGAATGAATTGAGATATCACTGATTAGGTAGGTAATGTAGGGAAGGGAAGCAGTTAGTAGCGGACACGTAAAGGAGGAGCGTGCAAATATTACGATTTTCTATGCAACAATTAGCATTAGAACAAGTATATACAAAGCTGGATAGTCGTATAGTTTTTTAACTTTGACATCTTTTTCTCGTTTTTTTTTGTAATAAAACTGACACATTTTTGTAAGTTGTACACAGACAAATAAGGTCTTTCGAATACCATAAGGAAAATTTTAGGCTGATTTTTGAAAAAAAGAAAGGTCAATGTCGTTGCGGCGTTCCGAAGTTTTTTTTCAAACATTTTCAGGAAACTGAGAATTACTGTGGGTTTTGGGTAAATTGGGCGCGTTCAGCAGGGCCACTGCTGTCGTAGCGCCAAGGTAGCGATCGTTTGGCGCTTAATAGCGTCCGCCATTTTTTCCAGCGAAAATACTTTCCGCTAGAATAGTCAGCGGAAGGTGGGAATAAAAGCGCGCATGTACCGTGACAGTGACAACCTCACCTCACCTCAGTTAAGCGGCTGAAATTTGGCGCTGGAAACAGCTGTTGAACTCGCCCATTATGTTCTTAAGTTCTAAATTTATCTGGATGATTGGAGTCAACGAAATATGGGTAATTTATACATGAGGAGTTTCAATGATCTTTTGTTTTTTAATTGGTTTTGGGGTCTGATAGCGGGCGTAAGGATAGGATAACATTCGTTTTAAGAGGAGTCATCATAAACTTAAAATTCTTTAAGTGTCGACCTAACTTAATAAAGACTTTATATGACTACGGAAGCAAATGTGCGGATCGAGCGAATTCCTCATTACGTGTTAAAGAAAAATTGCATCAGATACGTGGTGTATTAAATCTCGTAAGATGCTTAATTAAATAGTACATAAAAATAGAGAAATTGTAACTAAAACTGTTGGTATTTTCAAAAATAAACTCAGTTCAATCGGTCCCATTGCTGGAGGCGTATATTATAACCACAATTTAGACCAAGCGCTTACTGAGCAGATTCTTGGAAATAGTAAACAGTAAGAAAGTTTAATTAAGTTGAGCATATGCAAACTGGACATATAAATATTATACAATACAACCTAGCTAATGCGTGCAAATAAACAGAACTCGATTTTGTTGGCGGTTAGAGGTCTATTCCTTGTAAACATTTATTACTTTTAGATTGGCGTGTGAAATAAAATGTTTCACGTAGAATATTAAGGGGCACACAAAATTTAAATAAGAATTAATTATGTTCAAACGAGAAGCCGATGTGATGAAGATTTCAATGTGAATCATTTCCAAAATCGTATCAATTTGTATTGGGAGTATAAATAAAACAATTATTTCCTTCTGTCTTTATTTTCTTTAAAAATAAATAACATAATAATAATAAATATAAATGAGCCAATTATGTTACAGTGTTACGCACAACCATATACCAAGCATAAGTCAAAATAATGGGCATCGATTGATTTACATTGTAAATCAACTCATTCCGAAATCTTGGTATTGTAAATATTTGGTTGATATTTAATATGGACCGCTGACACCGGGTGGGCCATATCTTCCACTGCCGCTGACTAGTCCACCACCAGTGCCGATGGTTACACCGTGATCACCTCCGCTGATTCCGTGCGAGCCTCCTATTCCGAAATCTCCACCGATAACGCCCCCATGACCGCGAGAACCAGAATCCAAAGTTCTAACGAAGCTTGATTCGCTGCCGACATCGGAAACGGACGAGCCAACGATTTGTCCATTAAGACCACCTCGAATTGCGGCTTCGGCGTCGTGTTGAGACTTGTATTTGATGAAGTAAACTTCGGGTTTGGTTTGCTTAACTCCGACACCGGCGGGGATTGTGATTTGTCCGCCGTGTTCCGGCTTTTTGACCAAAACGTAGACCAAGGTCTTATCTTCAGACAATGAAGGTGGGGCGATAACTTCTGGAACGACACCACCGTAGCTTGGTGCCTTAACGAAGATGATTTTGGTGTTTCTTTGCGAGTTGGGTGCGATGTTGATACGTAGGCGAGAGTACTGCTCCTCATCAGGGGCGGCGTAAAAGTAAACATGTTTTTGATCCTGTTGGAAACCGCCGATACCACCAATGCCGCCGATTCCGCCTATGCCACCAATTCCGCCTATGCCGCCAATTCCGCCTATGCCGCCAATTCCACCGATACCAGAGATGTGGCTCCCAGAAGATTCGTAACCACCGACAGTAATTCCGCCCGTTGGCAAGTAACTACCAGACGGGATGTGCGATACATCTGGACGGGCCGAAGCTAAAGCAATCAGCGAAGAGATCACCTAAAAATCGCTGTCTAAAACACATGAATTCGAAATTTTTCAACCACTTACCACTAAATGATGCATTCTTGAAATAAGACGCTAACTAAATGCAACTGTATCAATATGTAAGTTAACCGTGATTTTATAGTGATCTTCGCATCCCCTCCGTTAAGGAATGGTCATTTTGAAAGGAAGATTTGAAATTTGATTTTTTTAGAAGCAGTTTAAACCCTCCCGAGCGCGAATTTCTGCTACCAAACATGCATTAACACGTACCGTTGACAAGAGTTCAAGTTCAAAGACTTATTAAACCGATAATTGCTAACTAACTAACCAATCAAAGTCGTCTTGCTTTTTTTCCCACATAAAAGCGAACGTGTTTTGTTTTTAGCATCACTAACCTTTTACATCATAAGTAGAACAAAGCCTTTAATGTAGAAATAATAAATTATACACTAAAATTATTTCACGAAGACTGCAAAATTGCCTCTTCGTTTTATCTGTAATTGACTTTCGATTTGACAATTTTTGAATGCCTCCTTAATGGACACATTCGCAATTATGAAACATTGTTGTTGGACGCATCCTTTCGCCTCACGTCGTTCTGTCCCTGCTTTTTTTCTACATTTCCGCCGGTCGAAGTTACGAAATTAATTTAACTGGATTACAGAGGATAACGTAAGAACTAATTTAGGTAACGAATAATACGGTTAAGTCATTAGTAAATTGCAAAATGCGCCGGAGTTCATCGCCATTTATCTCGCCTCTGCGATTGAAGAGAACAAATCTGTTGTGTACCATTCGGTGAAGGTGCACCAATTTCTTCCGTTTGGGTCGTAAGGAAAAGTGTCTCTTTGCTGGACCGAAAAGGGTATCGTCAAGGGGAAGATGATGACGATTAATCTCGTGCAGGACGCTTGTGAAAACTAACACTTAATTTTCACGACCGGCGATCTTTGCAATTCCTAAGCAAGCGGGATCAATGAAACTTGGACAAAAGAATTTTAATTATCAACTATGTAAACTAATTAGAATGTGATTTGTAATTAATTTTTACATAATGTGCACAGCGTGTGCACGCCCTAATGGTCATATGCGTGACGTTTAAACAAAAACTCGTAGATATGGCCAAAATGGATTGTTATAACCAATCAACAATAAAAATCTACCCTTATTGTTTTTCTTATTTGAACAATTTTAGAGAATTTCAAATCTACCAATTGTAGACCATAGGTACCTATCATTTGCGAAACCATTGAATTATGGATAACCGAGTGGTTGGGTATACGCAAAATTTACATAAATTCAAAATAATTTACTGACTTTAAAAATACCATTATTTATATTGCGAAAATGACAGAGTTAAGTACAGAAATGATTAACGTTCCAAGGACTCGCAAATTGATGGATTAAAAGTTGGGATTTGCCCTTTTGCTGCGATGAAGTATAAGAAAAGCATAGCATGACTTTTGCTTATCGAACTGAAGGACAGCATTTAGTTTTTCCATGTCAATTACTAATGCTACCAAATGGAGTAAGTTCTATCTTTCTTAATTTTCCAACCCTAATAGGTACACATTTTTCTCTTAGCTTTTCTGTATTTGAAAACTATGTGCCATGATGTTTTATTCAAAATAAATTAAAATCGGAAGGGAACCGTAATGGAATTTTGGTGCAGAAATTAGTGGAACTAGTGTGGGGTTACCGCAATTAAAATTGCAATACAGAATTAGTGATATTTATTAAAAAGTATATACGGGGTGTCAATTTTAAAACTTGCGATCGGCCATATTTTCCAAACTAAAAAAAAAAGATATTGAAAATCGCGCAAAACCGTTTCGGGGGTATCGAGGGGGAACCAGAATGACGTTATCAGTGACAATTCCCCACACCCTCGTAACCCGCCAGCCCCCCTCTTCGAAAATCCTAAATGGCAACCCCATACTTGTGACACATCGTTGGAAAGCTACTGAAAAATACTCTCCAGTGGTACAGACAATTTAACAAAAATTTAATAATTAACAAAAAAACTAAATGTTGACATTGAGGGATTTATGGCAAATTGGCCAAAAACTTCAACCTGAGCTGCTTCATTAAGCAATCTTTGTTCATTTCTTGGCCAATTTACCATAAATCCCTGTCAACATTTAGTTTTTAATTATTATATTATTGTTAAATTGTCTTTAATCAATATTGACTTTATTAGTACAACTGGAAAGCATTTTTCAGTAGCTTTCCAACGATGTGTCACAAGTATGGGATTACCATTTAGGATTTTTGAAGAGGGGGGGCTGGGGGGTTACGAGGGGGTGGGAAATTGTCACTGATAACGTCATTCTGGTTCCCCCTCGATACCTCAGAAACGGTTTTGCGCGATTTTCAATATCTATTTTAGTTTGGAAAATATGGCCGACTGCAAGTTTTAAAATTGACACCCTGTATAGAGATTTAAGTGTATTCTCTTTCCCTATGTCTACTTTTAAATGACAAAATCGCTTCTGCAAGGCGCCTAATATTATGCAACCAAAATTTGTTTGTTTATCTTGGACGCTTTGCTTTTTCTTCTGTGTAAAATTGGAAATGCATACCTTGTTATTTCTTAAAAATACCCTCGGTTTGAAATATGGCATATCTCTAGTTCTAAAGAAATGGCACAGGAATAATCATCCAATTTCGAATTAATTTAAAATCTTTCTGTCTTTCCTTATTAATTATCTTTTTTATCGTTCGTTTGTTAATTTGTAGATATCCCGAACTGTATAAAAAACAAAATCACTCCTTAGTCCCGATGACGTCATCGGGAAATTCCATCACCCACGACCGTTATTTTACATTGGAAGAATTTTTTTCGCGCCTACGATTAGACAAGCGTCATCTCGGTGTAGGAGTTCACAACATTTTTTTATAAATCTGAAAGAAGCCATCGAAAAACCTAAGCAAAACCGTTTCCATTCTTCTATGGTTATAAAGAATTTTGGGGGCACTTTTTGTAAAAAAAAAAAGAACAAAAGTGTAGTCCGAAATGTGTCCCATTTTAGAATTCTGAAATTGGGAGCAGTGGGCCGCTTTTGGGAAATCCTACATAATTTAAAAATTGTGCCTAGCCCAAACAACTTTTGTATTAAACTAATTTTTACAAAACTTGAGAGAGTATCAAACAAACATGGCACAGTGACCTGGAGAAGTCGAAAGGATATTTGCGATTGATTAAAAAAACAAAGAACAGTAAAGCGATGGTGTTCAAAGGAAGGGTTTGAGGCAGGAAGGAATTAACCTTTGGGGGAGTAAATGTGTAATGTCTACGATGAAAAAAGGATTCCTGATAATCTGGAGGGGCAGTGTCATGGTGTCTATCTACAAATGAAAAGAGGATATTATACAGGAGCTAAAGGCCAGTTTGGTTTTATGTCTGGAAGGGACGTATAAAATTAATTATATAATAACTATTTTCCTTTGCACACAATGCATGCTGTCTTATAAATTTTGCTAATTCGTAAGGTAAATACCGGAGTAGTATAGAACAACTTAAGACCTTCTGCAGAGGCACCCCTAAAAAGCATTATGCGGTTCACTCTGTAATTGGGCGCAAGCCTGTTGAGGGCCCAGAACAAGAGAGGGATAATAAATAAATAAATTGTGTTCGTCTAAATGTTTTAAAAAGTTTTCTTCTGTAATCTCCTTAAGGTATGTACTTTTAACCTGTAAGTTCTATAAATCTGTAACAAATATTGTAGCCAAAAGATGACCGTTGGTCAAAACTAGTCGCTGCTTGCTTAATTTGTTTATTAAAATTAGTATGGGGAAGGTTTTGTGTTTTGTTGGTATCTAATAGTTGATTATTACCCTAAATCGCGAGAAGGGGGTAAGAATCCTGATACATGTCGAATAACAAAAAAAGGAATTTGACTTTTTATTCAATATACTCAACAAGATTGAGTACAGATTTCCTGCGTTAAGAGAGATTTTTTGGAATCAGCTTCTCTGGGTTAAAAGAGTATTAAAATCAATTTGATCCCTACTATAATCATAAGGTAAGTTTAAATATTTTGTTCCGTTCAGCTAGCCGGTGCAACTCATATTTTGATAAATTGCGGATATGACGAATAAAAAATTTGAAAAAAGTAAATTAAGGAGGTTCAGAAGAAAACATTGTGAAAATCTGAATTTCAGAGGAAAACGTTTTTTCATGCGTCAACCCAAAAACCCTAGAAACGATAGGGTTTACTCGAAAGAAATTTCCCACACCACCTAAACTTTTAGTCCAAAAGAGTGTTCTTTCCACCTCGGTGATTATTTCACAAGCATTATTAATGCTAGAGCAAATAGAAATTTATTTTGTAGACGCTGTAAATTTATCATCGAGATATTTTAAGCAAATGCTTCCTGATACTGAACATATTAATCACGATCTTTCAACAAGATGGTGCACCATTCCACATTTTCAAAAGCACGATAGCGCATTTGCAGGAACCAATTGCAGATTACATACCTTCCCCTGTTTACACTGATGAGGCTTGACGACAGATGGACTTCCGGGATAAGAAGTCAACTCTGTGCCAAGTACCAACGGGCTCTGAGGGACAATTCGGGACACTCTGTTGTCCAAGAAGTAAGAAATCACTCCAAAAGCGGAAGAATTCTTCGGGATCCAAGGCGTCACCTCATTAAAGACCTCACGATATCCCTTAAAAAGTGTCAGAGAAAGACGAAACAAAATACGGATTCCTCGAATATTGAATTTTCCCCAACTCGAATCTCCGAGGTGGACAGTATCCGAAGAATGCATCCAAGAAAAACAATTAGAAGGAAAAAGGCTTTGATAAAAGAGGAAAAACTAATTAGAGGTTAAATACGGAGTTGATAAAGGAAACTGATGAAGCTAGGAAAGGGTGGTGGGAAAATCAATGCAATGAATTAGAAAAACTTGATAGAATAAGGAATAGATCATCCAAAGATCTCTATAAAACACAATATGAAAAACAAAGGCAATTGGAACTGGAAATCGAAGAATCAGTCTGTCCTGACACCATAGGGACCGAAGTAGAAAGAGCCATCAAAGGTATGAAATCAAGGGGATATATGGAATCCCAATAGAGATATTAAGGTGTTTTCAAGAAGAAGGAATGAAAGAATTATTATCTCTATGTGCCAGAAGAATTCCGATATAGAAGAGG